TTTAAATATTCATTTTGCTGATTCCTTCATGTTGCCATTCTTGTTTGGGAGGAGCTGATTATTTCTTCCCCACAACTTTGATTTCATGGTGCTTTCCCAGACCTGATCATTGATGGGATGTTGATATGTTAATGCACCACCCTGTGATAGTTTCACAATTTCCTCCTATCTCCATCTGTACTTCCTGTGCTCTTCCCTGAAACCTGAAATCCAAGATTTTTCTGTGATTTATTCCCTGTTTTGTTTACTCTGTACCAAGCATCATGAGAGATCCTGGCCTTAAAATCAGCTTTTTATCTGATGTTGGTAATACAAGTGATCATTTTGGTTAGTGGTAACAACTACTCACTCTCCTCACAGTTACCTGTCCTAAATTAGATTTTGGAGATCTGTAGCCTAGACAGTTTATTAACTGAATATAAATGTCAGAATTAGAATGTTGGTGTCTGTGCTACTATGAATTGGACTGTGTGACAGATTGCACAAAATGAGGAAGAAAAATAGGTCAATTTCTCAGGAACAAAAGTAAATATTTTGTGTTAACTGCTGTATTGCAGCAATGTGGGAATTTATCAAGCCTGAGTCTAATCTACCAATTTAGAAAAAACCTAAAAAGCTGAATTATTTGTGGATTTTTATTTTAAAATGCAGAGCAATAACTGTATTGGTTGGCTTGTAGGGTGTAGTACTTGGTATTTTGATGTTCCTTCCCAATAGCATTTACAGCAGTTGGATTTGTGTTTCCTGAGGGATGCTGTAACTCCTGCACACTGTAATTTTTTCCTTTCCCCCACATTTTGGGTAGCTGGAGAAGAAGCAGATGACGCCCCCGTTCCAGCCGCAGATCACGGACGATTATGGCTTGGATAACTTCGACACGCAGTTCACCAGCGAGCCCGTGCAGCTCACCCCAGATGATGAGTATGTGCTGCTCTGCCCCAGTCCAGCTGCACAGCTAGGAATTCATTCATAGATTATCTCAAAATCACTAAGAGACTCTGTGTGTTGGTGTGGTTATTTTTTTCTTTTCACAAACGGGACGGGACTGCTGGGCTTTGAGCTTTTACTGCAGCATCAGCCTCATTGCGTGGTTGAGACAATAGCAAGATGGCAAAGCTCACGTACAGCCAGCAGCAGCCAAAGATTTCTTTGACAGAATTCACAGAATCCCCAGGTTGGAAGAGACTGTAAAGATCATTGAGTCCAACCCAGCCCCAGCAGCTCAACTCAACCCTGGCACCCAGTGCCACATCCAGGCTTTGTTAAACACACCCAGGGATGGTGACTCCACCACCTCCCTGGGCAGCCATTCCAGAACTTTGTCACCCTTTCTGTGAAAAGCTTTTTCCTAATATCCAACCTATATTTCCCTTGGTGCAGCTTGAGACTTTGTTACAGAGCATCTTAAAAACCTTTTAGCCAATAGCTTATTGCTAAAGCTTACAGATGTTTGTTTTAGCCAATTACACATACACCTGTTTCACACGTTCACTTGTCTTTCTATTAACAATACACAATACACCATTATTAAGCTTAAAACCTTTTACTATCTTGCTTCTCAAAATCTTACCATTTCCCACAACTGTGTACTTGCCATTAGAACTTAGTCACATTACAGTAAATTTAAAATTCTCTGTCTTGCATAAGTTATTATATGATAGAAGATTGCCCTGTGTTCTGGTAAACTAAACACTTCTCTCATTTGTTTTTCAGAGATATAATAAAGCGAATAGATCAGTCAGAATTTGAAGGATTTGAATATATTAATCCATTGTTGCTGTCAGCAGAAGAAACAGTATGAAGGAATGACCTCGTTGGGGACAGTGTGAATGACATTAATTTATCCTTAACTACAGTATATGCATGCGAGGCTGGGGACTGGTCACTCTGGATGGAGACCAATGATCTAAAAACAAATTTGCTGCTGAAAATCAAAGAAGAGAATTATGGTTTTGGTGGGTGTCCTCTGCCACTTAGTGATTCTTAAGTTCTGGGCACTGACACAACTGGCTTCATTAATGAAGGAATTTGCATTTTGTGCCTGTTTCATGAAGGATTGAAACGTTCATTGCATCCCTGCAAAAGGAGATCATGAGAAACTTTGAGATCCACACACTTTCTACAAACATTTGATGCAATGAGCTCCCAGTTGAAGAGTATTACAGTGTAACATCCTGAAGAATAAAATATATTACAGTGGTGTTGAAGCTTATTTTTGATGCCTTTTTTCACAAGTGGTACCTGTCTAAACATCTCAGATATATTTAAAAGGAGTTGTGTTTTATTAGCAATCAAAACATAAATTTGGGTACAAGATTTAAGTGCCTAAATGGATAAACTGCATTGAAGGATTACTGTGTATTTGGGACATTCTTACACCTGGTAAGTTCTGCTTGTTAATATTAAGAAAAATTCCATCTGAAACATACAGTTCACAGCTGCAGCCTGATGTTTAGTTGCATTTTTACAGAATTTGGAATGCAGAGTGACTCAGTGAGATTAATTCCAGATTAGAATTTACGGTATCAATTACAGAATCTCTTGTCTTAAACTCCAAATTTACCAAAATGTAGAGATTGAAGAAAACTAAATTTGCACACAAAGAATTTCTGAACATACTTAAGCAGTGCCTACACCTACAATGATATTATGTTGTATATTAGATTTTTGAAAAGTATTTTTATCAACAATACAAATATTCAGATGTAGAGCAAAAGCATAGTAAAGCATAGCCTTAAAGTAGTACATCTCTAGAATAACCATAAGATAAAATCCACTTTCCTGATAAAGCACACCTCCTGCTTATGATAAACTGTCTGCTTACAGTTGCTCAGTGTGCATTAATAACTAATCATTCTGCAGCAGAGAATGGGATCTTTCAGCGAAATGATTTGCATCGAAGTAGTACAATTCTTTTAATGGCAGAAAACACAAATACCTAAGAAATTGGAAGAAGCAAAAGACTACTGTGGAATCCCTTCTGGTGGGAGCTGGGGGGTGCCAGGGGAGGACTCAGGAGCCGCAGGGGCTCAGCCCTGGGCCGGCAGTGAGGCTCTGCTGCCTCGGGCTGGGCTCCAGGGCTGCTGTGGGAAGGGAAGACAAACCTGTGCTGGCATCTCGCCTGATTGGGTGTAAAACACGGGAGAAATTGTGACACTTTCACTTTCTTTACATTAACCTATGGTTTTCTCAGGGTACAGCATTGCATTAGGTGCTGAACATGACATCTTTGGGATTCACATCCAAGTCATGAGGTGCTAGGACCAGACTGCCAAAACATTGTTTGAAATAGTCAATTAATCATTGATTAACAATCTAGGTTTTGTATCCCCTCCTTAGCCACAATTATGCAGACCTGTGGTTGTTTAGTTCTATGAATCCCATTCAGGTTTCAATTGTGGGTTTCTCTGTTGGACTGTAGCTTTTCATATTCAGCAAAATGTGTTTTAATCAACACTAAATAATTTAACTAGTAAAAAGTACTTGCCTCAAATGCCTGGACTTTAGATACTTTATTATCTACTAAAGGCAACATTACCTTTTAAATGTAATCTGACATTTTGTTTAATTGTTCCTTTTTCCCCTTTCCCCTCTTATTTCCCCTAAATAATTTCCTGTTCAGTGTTTTCAATTCCCCTGGTACTAAAGCTAATCAGTAGTGATCAGAGTGACTGCAGGCAGCTCATGAATGGAACTGTGACAGGTTAAGCTGTCCTTTGACATGCCAGGGCATGGAACTTTAAACTGGAAATATTAGAAATGTGGGCTGGGGTTTTTTTTAACCTTTTTTCCAGGTTTCAGAACATTTTGGGAGGGAGGGAAGGAAGAATAGAAAGACACATTTTGCTAATCAAACATTGTAAAGACTTTGATTTTTATTTAAGAATTTACAGGCATTTACAATGTTGCTGTGTTGCCAAATAGTTTGCTGGGTACGAGTTTGGTTGCTCATGTGCAAGTGTTTGAATAATGTTCTGTTCACGATGAAGGGGAAATTTTTTATATAAAGTACTTGTTTTATAAATAAAAGAAAATGAAGGATGTAATTAAATGTGTGGTTTGGAAAAAAAAATCCTAATATATTACAAATGGATCTGGTAATGATATATAGTTGTCTTATTTGAAATAGTAAATGAAAATTCTAGCTAATTTAATGATTGTAAAACAGTAAATATGTTCTTGTAGTTTTGTATAATTAATTAGTTGGGATCTTTGCTGACCAGTTTTAATTGTGCAGAAGATGGTATACTAATCCATAACAGCTGAGATCATTTATATTCTTGCACATCTATTAAAGACTTTAATGAAAAAGTTAATAAGACTGTTATTATTTCTCAGTGAACTGGGCTGTGTCCAACCTCTGAAACAGACCCCACTGTAAATTAGATCTCTAGGAGCCTCCCTGTATTTCTGTACTGTACTCTGTGTTTATTCTCTGTCTGGATCCCAGCTCAGTTGCAGGTTTTGAGGCCCAGGGAAATAAACCAGAGCAGGTTGGTGATCTCGCCCCTCCGTTTGTGGTTTCTGAACTGTCACTAAATGTCATTTATTGTCATTCCCAGGCTTAGCAAGTGTTCCCCTGCTCCTCTTGAGACCAAACGAGCAGCTGAGCTCCTGAGCCCCTCCCAGCCCCAGCAGGCTCTGGGCTGTTTCCTGCGCTGAGCCCTTGATGGTGCAGCTGGTACCAAAATCGGCTCTTTTGGCTGTGTTGGATCTCACTGTGCAGCTCAGCATTGTGACACTGGCAGAAGTGTTCCTTCTGCAGCCTAATTAGCCCAGTCATATTAATTACCTGTTTTAACACTGATACTGACTTAGAAACCTGCACTGTAAGGTTTTGAATTTAGCTGGGCTCCTTCAGAGACATAAAAACCCCACACTCTTTATTTGGTCTGGGCTGTGTGTCTTCTCTTAAATAGCTACACTCCCAGGATCAATTATACAATTATATTTTCTTACCTAGGTATTAAAACCACAAAAAAAACCCTGCCAAATTCAAATTACTTTTTAACTGAGTTTATTTTCATAGATTATCTGTTTAGAAAAAAAAATAGTGAACTTTTGGATGAGAGTAAGTAACAGTTGTCTTTTGCTCAGCTGCTTTCTTCTGGCCTGAGAGATTCAGAACTCTGGTGCATTAGACAAAGCTCGAGGGATTCCCAGTAGTGCATCTTTTCAGGAGTACCAAGACTCATTTCCCTGGGGCTCTATGGGACATCCCAGAGCACCATTTTCAGAACTAGAACTACTTTATGTGCATTTGAGAGGCTTTAAAATAACAAAAATAGGCAGCTGACACTTATTCTTCTGTTGAGTTACTGGTTTAAGTCAGAGACAAGGATGTGCTTCCTCGACACATTTTTCCTTTTCCTTTGAGAAAACTTCCTCCATCCTTGGCCTTGTTCCTGTGCTCTCCACTCTTCTGGATTTACCACATGACATCATCTGCACTTTCAGACAAGCACCTGGCAAGGTGGCCATCGATGTCCAGCTGGGAGAGTCTGCAAACACAGAACCAGTCACATCCTTCTACTGCCTGTTCTTGGCTCCCTCCCACAAGTGTTCTGGTACCTTAGTGGGGCAGTCACTCCTGTGCCCAAATCCTCTACCTAAACCTCCCACTCTTGCTGTTACTGCTGCTCAAATTGGAGCTGAGTAGCACAGACCTGATGCATTTTTAGCCTTCCTAAGTCTTTTGACAGAATGACTGAAATTGTCTAAATATTAATGCAGCCACTCCTTGTCTCCCGGTTCAGCCTCCCAACAACAGGGAAAGTGGCCCCCAACAGAGCTTGCAGGGTTAGAGGACCTGTGGAAAAGCACATTTTCAGCAACTCTGACAGCCGAAGACTATGAAATTATGTTAACATTTCTTACTGTAAAGCAGATGCTCAACTTGTAAATGGGATTAAAGTATATAATTCTGACAGCTAAAAAGGACTTCACAGTATAAGTTTTGTCTGCTTTTGTTATTCTGTATATATAGGAAGCATCCAGAAATTGTTGGGATTCATTTAGGGGAAAGTTATGAAAAAATACCAAAACACAAACTTACCTTCCACTAAACTGCATCAGACACATTGGACAACTGTCAAGAGCTGAAGCTGCTCCACTCTGGTTTTCCACCTTCTCCTCGTGGCTCTCAGCCCCAGGAGTGCTCCCAAGCCGAGGCTTCTCCGCAGGCACCCTGGTGGTCTCCCCTGCTGGAAGCTCCCTGTGCTGTGCCTGGATTTGAGGCTTTTCCTCACCCCTTCCTTTCCTGCCTGCCCTGCTGTTCTGTACAGTCCCTGCGTGGTGCTCCTGAGGGCTCAGAGCTTCTGCAGGGCTTTGTACCAGCGCCGAGGGCTGTGCTGAGCTGCTGTGCCCAGGGAGTTTACGTGACTTGGGATTCACATCCAGCTCTGAAACACCTTCTGTGTCTGCCCCGGGTGCAGCTTTGGTTTGATCTGTACTGGTTCCCCTGCAGGTTTTCTCAGCTGTGGATGATAAACTCTTCAGTTTATCTGTTTGGCCCTGTCCTTTATGTAATTCATTGCCCTGGCTCTGTGTTGGCTGCTGAGAGCTCAAATCCTTGGGGCTCAGACATTTTTCTTTGTGAAAAGATGGGAATGATACCCACTGGAAGTCTTTTGTTCCGACTGTAAAGACTTCCTGGCGTTCTGGACTCTTTTCCTGTTGTTTCTACAACACACACACAGAGAATGTCTTAAGCAAATGTAGCTCAATCAATACCTAAACCCAGGCTTTGAGAACACGTTGCAAATACTGAGAAAGCTGAACTACAGGAAAGAAAAGAACATTTTATTTATGTCCCTCCTCCAGGAGTTTCCTGGAGCTGATGGAATATGGGTCTTCCCTTAGCATTTCTGAATGGATACAATGGGTACTCATGTTCCAGAGAGACGAAGGATGAAAACAACAGCCTGCTGCTGTTCAGGGGGAAAAAAGTACATTATAAGGACTGATTTTTATGTTGTGATCTTGCCTAATGCCACTGGAGTGATGTCAGGGTGGGTTCTGTATAATTAACTTCTCCATTACAGCTTGCCTTTTCCAGTTTCGTTTCTGAGGGAGGTGCTGGTGTTTACGGCAATCACCAACCTTACACAGGCTCCCTCTTCCCAGCAAAATGTTGGAAAGAATTTGCTGTACTGCAAAAAAAGCCTCTTGTAGCTGTCCTTATATTCCCTCCCACACCATGCCCAGCCACAGCACACAGAGAGATTAAAGAGCTGAAACCCCACATCTCTAAAAGCTGTTCCAGGTTGTTTCCCATTAAGCAGGCTGTCGCTATTGGAAGCAGGACACAAAGTGCAAAAACAAGGATACATCACGCTACCTTTTCCAAGAACTCTGGAAAGCTGGGCACTGTGTCCCAGTTTGTGCACTGTGAATCTTGACTGATGTCTTTCAGTAGCAAAAGCCAGGCTTTTTCACACTCATTTAATTCTTCCTTTTCAAACCAGGAACATCTGTCAGTCGGTGCCCTGTAAAGATACAGTCCAATAGTTTGAAGGTGGGAGAGAAGAAAGAAAACACTATTAACATTGATACTAGTTTTTGCCTCTTTTTTTCTGGAACACAAAGACATTATTGAGCCTGCAAACTATTTTTTGCAGCTTTATATGACTTATGTAATTTGTACACCTAGCAAAAAATTAACGTCTAAATGCTTTCCCTTCTGCTTGTAACAAATGAGCAGTAGGTATCTATCCCTATCTTCACTTCCAAGTGGGAACAGTAAAGTGCAGCCACTGGTTTATCTTGATTTATCTTCTCAAATACCAAACTTAACACCTGCTGAGCACAGAAATCATGGACGTGTTTGCACTGAGGGTGGCAATTGCATCGGTTCCCATGTATGTCTGCACATTGCAACACTGCCATTTGAAATTACTGATTTCAAATCCCAAACAACTTGATTTAATTGATCCTAGGAACCATAAACATTAAAAGGTAATGTTGTATAAAGAGAATTCCAAGGGAAGGATGGATTGCTTATGCGACAATGGTATTTTCATCCTTCCTGATGTGTTTTCTTGGGTCGCTGTCCGAGAATGAAGCTGCAGGGACAAAATTAGAAACAACATGCCCTCAAAGAGCAGAGTGTTCAACATCTCACAGCCCATGGTGGAAGGGACACGGCTGAGCCCCCGGGCTCGAACACAAACCGAACCACTCACTGCCTTCCGTCCTCCCCTGATTCAGGGCTGGGAAACACAGGAAATATTTCTGCGCTCCTGTGAGCCGTATTCTGGAAGAAATAAAACTGAGTTTTCATACATTAACTTTTCTCAGGCCCTGTCGCCGCCAGTGCTGTTCTGTGCCGAGGAACGTGTGGCAGGCTAGGGGCCCGCCGTGCTTTATCCTGCAGTTTAATCTCTATTTTTAAAAGGCGCTAGGGGTGGTGTTTTATGAAATAACCTTTAACAGACACAGATCTGACCGCGAAACGCCGCGAGTCGCCGGAGCGGTGCAGCCTGGCCCCCGGAGCCGCTCCGATCCCCCAGGACCGATCCGATCCCCCGGAGCCGATTCGGTCCCCCAGGACCGATCCGATCCCCCCGGAGCCGATTCGGTCCCTCAGGACCGACCCGATCGCCCCGGAGCCGATTCGGTCCCCCAGGACCGATCCGATCGCCCCGGAGCCGATTCGGTCCCCCAGGACCGACCCGATCCCCCGGCCCCGACTCACTGGGGCCGCGGTGGGGGCTCGGGGCCGGGGCTGCGCTCCCGGCTGCGGGCGGACGGCGCCGCCCGGGGCTTCAGACGCAGCTTGGCGGCTCCTTCCTCACACATGCCCGAGGCTGCCCGCGCCTCGCCGGGGGACGGCGCTGGCGGCCGCGGAAGGGCGGGGAGAGAGGGCGGCCGAGGCTTCCTCCTCTTTCTCTTCCTCCTCCTCCTCCTCCTCCTCCTCCTGCCCCGGGCGCGCTGCCGGGGCTGTGACTCTCCGCCCTCAGAGCCGCCCTCAGAGCCGCCCTCACGGCGCGGGGCCGCGGGAGCGGGCGGGCGGCTCTGAGGGCGTCCTGAGGGGGGCCCGCCGTTCCCCAGCCCGTGCACCCCTCAGCTGCAGGGGGCTGGTCTGCCTGTAACACAGCTCTTTTTGGTGCTGCTTTTACCCGCAAATTTTATGTTTTGAGAGGGTTTTGGTGTGTTGGGAAGGGCAGGGTCAGGGGCTGTGCTGGGTGGTCCCTGTGGCGGAGGGGGACAAGATGGCGCGCGGTCGGGCCGGGCCTGTCCCGCCCTGCTCTGGAGCTGCTGCGCGGGGCCGAACCCAAAGGCTGTTCTTCCAAAAATTAAAATTGATTGGGAGCGCACCTCTTACCTAATTTCCCTTTTAGAGAAGAATCCGAAGTGTTGCGATTTAACGTTTTTGGTCGGAATGTCGCCGTGCTCTAGAGAGGGTTTAAACGCTCCCCAGCCGGCAGTCGTCTCAAAAACAGACCCCAGAGGAGTGGTGACAGACACTTCATCCTCCAACAGTACATGAAAGGATCAGAAAGTAACTCTGCTATTTAAACTCTTAACAATTGATGCAAAAAATAACTGTGCAAGGAAATAAATCCAGTTTGGTAACAGGTATTTATGAGGGAGCACCAGTGCTGAGGTCTCTTTGCATAAAACCAATTTTTTATTGGTAAAACATGAGTCCAAGTCCACATTCTTCTTCTGTAACTGCATTTATGTGCTCCTGGATGTCTGTGGACAGCACAATCCTTGAATTTTTCACAATAGAAAGGAGGCATCAGTATTGACTGATAGAGGTTACACATGTGAATTGCTGTGTTGGTCACACAGCCCAGCAAAAGTGTATTAAGTAACAGTTGGCATGACTTAATATGTGCTTTGAGTGGATCTGAACCTTGAAAATGAGTATCAGAGTTCAGAGATTCACATTTCACATAAATTTAAAGCTGAGCAGGTCCATCCAGAGGTGTTTCCGCTGAGGATGATTCTGTCTGTGCAGAAATCTGGGAGGCTCTGCCCAGCCTTCACCTTCCCTGTGTTAACTCAGGTACTTTGTTATTCCTGTGAGTCCATAATGCCTTTAACTCTATATAATAGCTAATTTTTTAACTTTAAAGCAGCATTAATAGGTTTCCTTTGGTGGATAAAAATCTTGGAAGTACAGTGTTTGGTTGCTCCTGGGATCTGTGTGGGTTTATAAAATAGATAGCTGAAAAACAAAAATAATTGTAAAAAATGTCCTACTAGAAGACCAGCATTTAAGCTGTGTGATGGGCAGAGTAAAACGAGAATGAAATCCGGGAAGAAAGAAAATACTGGAAAAGTCAACCCCTGTCGCACAAACTAACCTTTTCCCACATTAATATCTGTTACAGCTACTGCAGTGCCCAGGGAACACCCAAGGTACAGTCACAGGGTTCTGTCATTTTTGTTGCCATTTAGAAGCTGCTTCTCAGTGTGGTGAAAGGAAACCCCAGGAAATCGGTTCTCCTTTCCTTCTTTGTCGGGAAAGGTGTTCCCCCAAAAGCTGCAGGTGGAACAAGGTAAGTGGAACAGAGGGAAAGGGTGAATTTGGATCTGAAGGGTTTAGAGAGGAAGGTGTGGTGACAGCAGAGACAAAGAACAGCAGGAGAAAGGGGGTATAAATAAAGCAAAAGTGTGAATTGAAGAGGGGTTTGGCCGTGGAAGTGGTGGGAAATGAAATGAGGAGGGGTAGAAATCTGATTTTACAACCAGCTGAAGAAGTGTTCCTTGGGGGATTTCACTCAGGATCACTGGGAATTGTGGCCCAGCGCTGACTGTCACCACATGGAGGCAGCAAACTATGCAAAACCAGGGATTTAACAAAACCCGGGGGGCTGTGAGAGCACTCCAAACACACTCCTGGGTGTATCTATGCTAACGATCAGTGATGCCACAAGATTTCTTTTATTCCCGTGGTGTTTGGGTTAGTGTTTTATGTTTTATGACTCCTTGGATACTCCTTGGACAACCTTATGCTGCTAAATCGTGTGCTGTACCCATGGATTTATGTTGTTAGATATGACTTCTCCCAGAGCAGCCATCAGGAGTGCAGCCTGTTCTTCATGCTGGAGGTGTTGCTGTGTGGTGCTGTGAGCACTTACAGCATTTGCAAAAGCTTTATTATGGGGGAACATAAAAATTGGTTATTGTGCAGTAAGGGCCACAAATGAAAGAATATAAAAAAAAGAATAGGGAAAATTATTATTGCCACTTCTGCTTGTAAAAAGCAAAAGGAGAAAACCTTGCTTCTTTAGCAACTGTAGATTGTAGGTGGGTTTGGATTTTGTAGATTTAACTGAAAATTCTAAGGTTTTTTTGATTGCTATGTGTTTAATGATACCCACTCTAACCATGCCATGAATGTTTTCATCCTTGCTCTGCTTCTCTAACTACCTGCAGATTTCAAACTAGAAATCTTTGTCCATTAAGGGCATTTAGTATTTTTCATCTGCATCTTTCTGGAATGAATAATGTACTAAGAATAGGAAGGCAAAGTAGAATAGGACCTGTTCTTGGGCTTGCCCCTTTGCACGAACCTTATCTTCTGTTTCCTCCACTGCCTGAAAATCCTATTACTTTTTGCTTGATTTTGGGTCTAGCTAATTTAATAATTAGAATGTTTAGTGGTGTTAGGAAAAAAGTTCTCCTAGAAATGCAGAGAATAGTCTTTATCATAATCAGCCTTGACTGGATTTGAGCCAGTGGTCAAGGGATTTGAGCTTGTGGAAGCCAGAATGCTCCTACAGATTATCTGCAGGGATTTCCTTGTAAATGGAGTGCCAGCATGTGTAGTTATCTCTTCCCTGTTGAGTCTCATCAAGCTGCACACGCTTAATCTTTACTTACATGGTCCCTGATTCTTGCTGTAAAGTGGGCCTCAGTTTTAACTTTTGCTCTCAGGAAGAAGGGGCTATTATAACAAATTCTAATCCTTTTGCAGTTCCACAATCACTAAAGCCTATAAATTGCCTGCCAAACAAACCAAGTGATCTTTTCCTGGGCTGAGGGAAAGAGGAGAGTGTAAAACGCAGGTGCCAGCATTTGCTGGGGAAGAACTGGTACATTATCAACTAATCCGCCTTCTGCTATTTCTGATTTCCTCCCCAACAGCTGCAGCATTGAATGAGAGCTTCTGCATTTGGGAAGAATTAGAAAGCTTGGTAATGCAGGGTCTCTATTACAGATACAGCAGCTCACAGACAGGGAGGAGATTTTTGCTGCCGGTGTAGAATTTGGAGTGCTAGGCATTTTATAGCCTGGAAAAATTGTAATTTTCAGCTGTTGTTATGGAGTAATCAATGGAGAAGAGATGCCACAGTTTCTGCTGGGTTTCTCTCAGAGTCTGATGTCATTGCATGCAGGAGCTATTATTTTTTTTTAATGTGCCACTTTGAGGCTGAAGCACATACAGTTTTTATTGAAACTTCTTTTTTTATGACGACTGATGCTCGCTGATAGTTTTAGACCTTCTGAAATATCATTTCTTCTGTAGTGATAGCTCCAGTATCAGATAAAAATGTTCAGAAGAAATTGTTCCTTGCTAGACCATTGAAATATTATTATATTTTAATTATTTTATCTAATCAATGCTTAGCTTAGGAGTACATGTTGATAAGATTTGTCCTTGTCAAATAGTCTGTGACTTCACTCAAGGATGAGCGTGGCCATTCTGCTAAATGTAATAAAGGGCAATGTCCCCAAAGAGACCACAATGTGCAGAGCAGCAGGGAGAGCTGCTGCAGCAAATGTCCCACAGCTGAAATGCTCCACTCTAATGTCACAACATGTCCCCTGAACAGCCCAGTGGCAGCAAATGTAGCCCTGGAAAGAGCAACCCAGCAAACTGACCCACTCAGTCCAGTGTTAGTCACTGCCTGTGGTGAAATGGGAAGGTCTGACTCTTTGCATTCATGTGATGTGTTACAATTAAACCACAAAATGAGGAGAACTGGGTAAGACTGGCTTAGTCAGGAAAATAAAGATGACGTGCATTTCAGTTTGAGAAGTGCAGGCTCATTGCTGCTTCCAGAGAAAGTCAGTTCAGTGGAGACAGTTTTGTGGGCTCTCCTTAATTTTAGTTGCAGGAGACATTCTCTTTCCCACAAAAAGTCACTGCCTTTGAAACCTGCTCCCTCTGGTAGCACACCAAAGCTGAATTTGCCAACGTGCAGCACCCAGTACACGACTCATCTCTTCAATTCAGCCTTTCCAAATGCAAGGACAGATCAGCACCTGTGTGGCTGGAGATGGAAAACCCAGCGTTGTGACATTTATATGCCAAGATGGGAAGACCTAAAAAGAGGACTAGGGAGACTAGCATGGCATTTGCGGGTACCAGGTTGCCAAGGAGGCATATTGTATTGAAACAGTTGCCTGGGAAACATTTAAAAATACATTGAATGGAAAAGCATATGTGATGTGCCCACAAGTGTTCTGTGTGAATGAAATGCCATGGCTGATGATGGCACCAAGAGACTGTTACTATTACATGTAAAAATGCTGCAAGTGATGTGTGTTTTTTTCCCCTTTTGTGGTGTTTTCCTACCCTGTTTGCAGGAGGTGCACCGAGGGAAGGTTGTTTTGCTCATGGCTGATGGATTAAAGTGGATATGGGGAAGGTGGAACACACAGGCAGCAGCAGCAGCTGGGGACGGCAAAAGCAATTTGGCTTCATTTAGGCAACCTAAACCAATTGACAAGGAGCCTGCACAATTCCCCCTCAAAAGTAACAACAGCACTAGTCAAACTCCTACAGTATAAAGATAAATGGTTCTCTGAGCATTGCCACTTTAATTGGTGCTAAAATGGGTATTGGGAAGCTCTGATGTCATTGCAGTGGGACTTACATGTAAACATCATGGAAAATGTAGGGGTTTTGATCAAGGGTTGGACAACATATATGAAAAAGTTTCTCACTGACCTTATTTTTTGTTTAGGGCGCTGAAATAGAGGGAGATGATGGGATAAAGTTTCAGAAAACTGTTAACTGCTATAGTCCTTCTTCAGATCAGAGTCAATTGCTGAGAGATGGTGCTGACAAAAAAGAATGATGTCACTAGAACCAAAACAAACAATCATATTCACTCTTTGTCTCACAGAAAAAGAAAAATCACCTTATTTTCCCATGCAGCCAAGAAAAAAAGGAACTAGGAACAGTAATCTTTGATTTCCTGCCTTGGACAAAGAGATTCATCTGTTAGCAACTTCCAGATATTAAAATGCACCTCTCCTTCCCTAAGAATGAGTGGCAGGTGTGAGGCTGGTTAGGATTATGGTCACCCTGCCTAATCCTCCTTTGGAGATTTAGAAACAAATATCCTACTCTTGATTTGCTAGAGGCTTAAGAAGCCTGTTTGGGAGCCAGCAGATTTAGCTTGGTCCAGGCTTTATGTAGTACAGTAAATTTTTTGGACGAGAGATGCAGTGGAGAGGAGTTGAGTTGAGTAAGAAGGAAGGTCTGGAGGCCTTTTTGTTGGTGGTATCTTGCAAAGAGGACACCAGGGCCTTGGCTCCTGGAAGATGTTGCCTGTTTGGGGCTGGGAAGTTTGCTGCCTGTCTGGTGAGCGCAATTCCCCAGGGAGGAGGAGATTCTGCTGACTTTGCTGTCAGTTTGGCCAGTGAGGAGATGCTTTTTGGCATTCTGGTTATCTCCTCATTTCAGCACAAGCTGCTCAGGGGTCTGAGGTGGTGCAATGATCACGTTGGAAAACCATGAATCAGATGAAGTCTCCTTGGTGTCAGTCAAGTCCCAGAATCACTCATCATTTTTCTGGCCCAGTGTGTGTTTGGTTAAATCAAGTCCTGCTGTTTCTAGGCCCTGGGGTTAATGTAAGAGAGGAGGAGAATCTGCCTTTCATCCTCTCAGAAATTTGCAATGTGACTGAAAACTTGGAGAGAATGTGTCAGATCTCAAACAAAGATTAGGTTTGATGGCACGGAGCCGTGGGTTCTGTGGCCCAGCCCGGAATTCTGCTGAGGGAGTTGTATCATCTCCCCATACTTTAAAGGGTTTAGACTCTGAGTTTAGGATGAAATATGGCTTGAGGTTTTCATATTTATTTCTTGTTTGCTTTCTTGGTTTTCTTGGGTTGATTTTTTTTGTTGTTTTTATTTAATTCTAAATGTATCTCACAAATTATAGCCAATAGAAGTCTGAGTTCCTCTTCTTCATTTGAAATCAACATACTAAGGAGCTCCACAAAAAAAAAAAAAAAAAAAAAATCCATAAATCACTTGTTTATGGGCATGAAACCACAAAACAGTGGGACAAAATTACCCTACTAGTTAATGTGGTGTGATTTTTATCCGTAACTACAATGGTGTATAAAATCAACATAAAATAGAATGTAATTCAACAGATGAGTATGTCTTTATTGCTTCAATAAATGTGGGTAGTAGGTTTAGTTAGTTTTGCAATTTTTTAAGTCCTGACTAGTGTTTTAGAAAGAAAATAGGATAAGTCTGAAGGAATAATCAAAGCTGTGGAGGCAAATATAAATCTTTTCACTCTGGAGGGTGTATTTTCATATTCATCCTCCCTTTGTCATTAATGCTTTGATAAAAGAAATATAAAATGGGATTAATTTAGAATCCTGACAGCAAAATACAGGAGAGCTCTAGTTTCTTTTCTTCCAGGTGTCATTTATTTAATTGTATCAGACATGGGCTGAGTTTGGTTTATTTACATTGTCTTAATACCCACTGAACTGAAACTGCATTGAGGCGTTGTGCGTGTGAGAGGTCGCTGTGCCTGGCTCATCCCTTGCTGTGACAACACCCGCTCAGAGGTGCTGGCCAGGGCTGGGCCTGCCTCTGCTGTCACTCTGCAGCTGTCAGTCAGATCCATTCAGTCAACTTCAGCACAAGAAAGCTGATGCCTTCCTGCCACATCCCAAAACTGCTGTTAACAAAGGGTAACTTCATGCTGCTGTTCCTTTCGTGAGTGAGTTTGGAATCGAGTTCATTTTGGAGGATTTTCCCCAACAGAACCTCTCCTGCTCCCCAAATCCATTTTGCTGTTCTTCAATCCAACTGTCCTGCTCTCATAGAAATTCTTGGATTTCCCCTTTTGATCAGTGGGAAGTGCTCTGAGGGAGATGTGTGGTAGCTAAACCAAGATGTTGTGGTGCTGGCTGAGGACAGGAAACATGTTCAGTTAGCTGAAGTGCTTGCTCTGGTTTGTACCACAGTCTGGTTCCATCATTAGCCTGTTTTTATGAGTCTGTCCTCCCATACTGGAATCAGATGTTTTATCAGAGCACTCTGAGGAAAAGCAGCAGCCTCACAGCTCTCCGTGACTGTGCTGTACCCTGCAGAAAATGAGTTGTTTGACTTAAAGCCACATCCCACCAGGGAAGAGGCAACATCACAAAGAGCTGCAAAAATATTGGCACCATCAAACCTCAGTATCAAAGGAAGAGATGAATCCGGGTCTTCCAAGAAGCTGTTTGGGCCTAATTGGGTTGGCTGGGCATGATGAGATGCAATCTATGACCAGTGCAGCTTTGTAGGCAGAAATGTCAAATACAGATGCATTTAAGTGAGAGCTGCCTCCTATTCCCTGTCCAGCCAAATGAGATTTGGAGGAGCCTGCTCACTGCAGGGTTCAAAGGACAGCAGGGATCAGCAGGGAATTGTCGTCAGTGTTTCTGGGAGTGGGGTTTGGGTTTTGCAATTACACAGAAACTAGAATTGACATCCACATTTGCTGGTCCCATTATTTAGTAAGGGATGGTTGTTTTTCTGAATTGTTTACCTGTTCAGTGATTATTTAATTTAGGAATTAATTTGGGGAATTTCTACTGCCTGTAGTGTGGTGCAGTAAGTCAGCATACTTAATTATGATACGCCCTCTGCCTTAAAGTAGCCCTTTCTTACATAATTTCATACTGATACCTGTTTATGAGATGAGGCATGGGTGCACAAAAATTAGGGATATTGCCTGTCATAACACAAGACCTGGGAACTGAACTCTGGTCTGTTCACTGGGTCTTTGCATAGGCATAAGACTGATCTTTCAAGCCCTGTTTTACTCCCAGGGGCTTCCAACACCATGTCTTTCATCAGCTTTGAGTTCACTGGAAAGAAATTAAAAGCTGGGACATCTTTCTGAAAGTCTCTGCCTAATGGCTTGTGTTTTCCAGAGTATTGATAAACCCCAGTGCAAATCCTGAGCCTCCCCTGCCCCAGAGACGTGCTCTGGCTTCAGTATCATACTTAATGACAAACAGTCACCTAGTTTACCATATGCATTCTTTTATCTTAGCTGCTCTCCGTGCATGCTAGGAGATTTATTTCTCCTCATAATGCATTTCATGTGTGTTAGTTGTAAATATTGTGCTCATAAATCAGCCTGGAGCATCCAGCCCCAAGGATGGAGACAGCTCACAATAGGTCTGTCTGCTTCACATTGTGAGGCTGAGCTTGCTCTCTGCTTTTTCCATTGCTGGGCTCTGCGAGTGGCGTGTTGCCAGTCTCCTGCCTCACATTAACAGGAATACTATATATTACTAAATTCAAAGTGTTTTTCCTTCAGGACTAGAAGAATGTAATGGAGCATGCATCTGGCAGCAGGACACTGTGGCTGTGGTGTGCAGGGAATCACCCCCAGGGCTCCCTGCTCCAGTCACCAGGGCTGGGGACACCCTGTGCCAGGGGCTGCATGCAGATAGACACAATGTGTCATGAAAAACCGATTCTTCTCCCTTCCCTGAGCCAGATACTCTAAATTCAATACCAAAAAATCAGCAAGTCTGGTGTGTAATCCCTAGAACTCCATTTTTTTCATGCCACTTCTAGAGCCAGCTCCATCTGTATTCACACCTACTGACCTCACTTTTTTCATCTGGGACATGGAAACTTTTTTTACTTGTCTCATAAGAAGTTGTTTTGAGAATGAATTAATGTGTTATGTTTATGCATGAGGACATGTCAATGCTACAGAGGTGCATACCAAGCTGCCCCAAAACTGGAGTTGTTACTCTCTATTTTTGGGTAGTATCATTTGGCTTCCTCTCCATCTGTCCTTTTGTTGGGAAGTTTGCCTGCCTGGTGTAACTGCAAGTACTTTGTGCAGTGCTCCTGATAAATTACTGCCCTTTTGTTCATTTTGAGGATGTTGTGCTCTCAAAATTCCTGTGTTTACATGAATCAGGGCTGCATTAAATTGCATGGTCTAAAGCAATCAATATTCTATAGGCTTTTGGTGTTTTAATTGGCTTGTATTTGGAAGTCTGAAATGGGCTGAGCTGCAGGACTAAAACTAAACAGAGTCTGTCACACCAAAAATACTCTGAAGGAGTGTATTTCTTCGTGGTAGTGCAGCTGAAAACACCTCGTTTACTGTAATTGGTTCATCTCACTCTTGTGACTAGGCTTCCCACCTAATTTATACATATTCAAATATGTTTCTAGGTATCTGATTCTTGGAGACCATGTTAAACCAGTGCCTTCTGTTGGTTATTATGGTCTAGGAAGATTTTGGTTTGTACTCATGCAGAGCATTCCAAAACTATAACCCTTGATTTGCCTCACACAGTACATCCCACAACTCTGACCCTACATGAAGAAACTGTTCCTCAGAACAGTCTGTAACCATGATGTTCATGATGCATTTGAGGGGAGCTGGAGAGGAGAATGGTGTCATCACCTGAGGGGAAACACAAAGCAGAAAGAAACGAGGAGGGGAAATTTCGGTGCTTATTTTTAGACTCCGTGGGTGAGTATTATTTTCAGCCTTATCTCTATTAATTTCTGCAGAACATGGTGTTAACGTGTGATTAGAAGAAAGCATTGTCATTTCTAGCTCAGGCTAAAGTAATCCCTCCCTGGCAATCCCTGGAGAGTCAATACACCCCTTTGTACCAAGGTAAGGCAGCGAAGACATGGCTACAGATGTGGATGTGTCTGAGACAGCTCTAAGCTGTAGAGAAGTAAACCTTACACATATATTTATGCTTACTGAGTTCACAAAAATTGTCCCTGACACTGGGTCAGTCCTCCCTGTAGCTGCAAACACTCTGCTAATGAGTTGGTTTAAAGTTAAATTTCAGTATGTTGATGGAGAGCTGTTCTCACACTCATCATCACATACCTTCAGCATCTTCTGTATTTAGCACAAGACTACACACTCATACGTTTCATTGAAGAACATGCTGCCTGTTAATCAGCACTTTATTGTCTCAGTATGCTTAAAATAAGCATTTTGTCACTTTCAAGAAGAAGGAACTTTATTGGTTTGCATTCTGGCACTATGCTCCATGTTGTCAAGTGCTGTCAGTTGGCTTCTTTCTGTTAACTTATGAGATTGAAACATTCTGGTAGCAATTTTCATCAGATACATATTGGATGTGTTAGAGAAGTATCTCTAATGTTCCAGAGAAAAGAGATTTAGTGGGTAACATTTTGATCTGGAGTGCCAGAGGTCCTCTTTAGAGCCTCTGATTGCTGTATGGGACAAGGAACACAAAACTGAAATTCCCCTGTTGATCAGAGAATGCAATGAGAGGAAGGAAAGAAGATAACATCTTATCAAGGGATCTTCTTGTTTCCTTTATGAACAGTTAATAATCAGCATTAGCCCTTCCCTCACTCAGTATTAAGCAGAGGACCTTTGAGGGAACAGTGGCTGCCAGGCTACCAAAATTCAGCTTGACTGTCTGAGACTGTGTCTGGAGTCTGAGGAGCACTAAAAGCTCATACTGCCTTCAAGCCAGATGTTTTGAGTTAGGCTGCAGTGCTGTCTTTTAATTTGGTGTGGAGGCAGAAAAGTACAACAGAGTCTGATCTTTGCTTTGAGAGACCTGTCAATAGCCCTGAGCCTTTCAGCCAGCTCTGAGGCATTTCAGCTCTGCAGCACTCCCAGTTCAGCACCAGCACGAGGAGCAGGGTTGTTTTGACACAAGGAATGCCTGATCTTGTTTGACAAGATTATATATCACTGTCATTAAATTTAATAATTTGCAGAATTGTCCATTGCTAGTTTATATTCTAAGTGGAGCATCAGTAAAGGCAGCAGAGGAGACTGAATGGAGACAGGGAGTGCCAAACCCTGAAGTGGTAAACTCATAATGCCCAAACCAGTCTGTGGAAACATAAACCGTATTAATTCCTAAATTCCAATAATCTGTGAAAACTTTTGAGGCTTGACTATGGAAAAATAGCCCAGAAATTTGGGAAGAATTGAGTTGAGCAATGTCCTCTGCAGAAGGCCACAAATAGCTTTAGAAAAAGACTTGTGTAAGCCTATTAAATCTGCTTAGGTTCTTGGATACTTCCTGTTGTAAATAGATATGCTTGGGGCCTTTATTGAAGGCTATATAAGAGAGTTTAATTATGGTTATATCTTTTAGCCTGTTACAAAACTTGGCAGCTCTTTTTGAGAAAAAACCAAAAAAACAAAGCAAAGTTTCTTAGGGCACGTGAACACAAAAGAAATATGTGAGATTTTTGTCTTGGAAAATGCAACAGATTGCAGCTAACCTTGAACTCTCTTAGTAGGAAGAAAAGCTGTGAGAACTTAACAAAATGCTATAATTATCCATGTTTCTAATGGGATTTTTTGGTTATTAATTGAGTTTAATCATGCAGCAGCATTTCCAGAAATTGTGGGGCCAGGAGCATACAATTAAAGTCTTGTTTTGAATCACCCAACTGAGAAAAAAAAAATCTAGAAAAAATAAGTTATTTGGATTACAAAATGTAAGAACCATATTGATATAATTATCCTTAAAAGAAGATACTGTAGGAAATAGGATGGATTTAGTTATTACAAACATTCATGGAATAAAAACACTATTAAAGCATTACAAGATTCAAACAACCAGTGAACCAAAAGTGTAAAAACAGTGCTTTGGAAATTAATATTTTCCCAAGAAATGTTTCCAGTAAGAACCTGGGAAACTGCACTTTCTCTTGTGGGTGAAAAAAGTCACATTCCGACTTTAAAGGGACAGTGCTTCTGGAGAGTTCAGACGTTCAGGATGTTCTCTATCTCCATAAAACTGTGAAGAAAGAAGTTTAAGGGCATCATCTGTTTGGTTTTTTTTTTTTCCCAGTGTATGCCTGTCGGTCTTTTTGTGTGTTTTTCCATGTGGATGGTAAAAGTAGACGGGACAATTTCACAACTGCTGCCATTTCTTTTTCTGACTCCTGGGTACTTGTGGCATTGCTGCTAGTGGAAAATGCTAATAAAATCCCTCTGGGAAGCAGAGTGCCCAGCATATTTTGGTGACATTTATGGTGCCCTGGGTAACCCTTTCCCTCCGCCAGCTCTGTGAGCCTGCTCTCAGGGCGGGTTGCTGTGCTTTGCTCACAGGCTCTCTGCTAAGGAAACCAGAAACTTTGATTGCATTTCAAATCCAGTCCGTGCCAGTAGCAATTCCCTGGTTGTTTTCCATAGGGTTATTTTCAAGTGGCCCATAAATAAACAGGGACATGGTCCCTGATGTGTTCCAGCCTAAATGATGAACATGATTGATCTTAATTGGTTTCCTTGGTAGTTCTCAGAAAGAGCTCTCAGTAAGAGAGAACCTTGACTGGTTATTTAACCTCAGTATTGCTCATTCCTGACTTTTGCTGGTCGTTCCTGGAAATTTCTCAAGGCATTGTTGATTGAAATATACTGCTGAAAGAGTGTCCAAGTGAAGTCCCAACCTCCTGCTGTCAGAACTGGACCTTTTGTGGAGACAAAGGACTGCAGACTCCAGGGCTGTCATGTCTGATATCCTTCACTGGGAACAAATGCACAGGGAAAGGGAGAGAGCAGAGGCAGACCCTGCTTCAGCTCCTTTCTGTGTGGAGGCACAGACTTGAGCTTGTAACATGTACTGTGAAGCATAAATACATATATTTATATCTGTATTTTTAACTGTGTACTGCTGGCTGTGCAGCTGAGAGTGTGGAAGGATTCAGGAATGATGGGTTATTTGTATGGCGCACAACCCCCCAGATTTGTTCCAGTAATAGTCTTTAAAACAAAATACAGCAGAGAGGGGACGAGAGAACCCTTTTAACTCTTGCTGGTGACGGATGGACTTCTTTTTTTTTTTTGGATTGGTACCACTTGAAGTGTTTTAAAGTTTTATGTGAAGCAGCCTTTCGTGGCCAGTGTAAGGAAGAGGATAGTGGGCACTGCATGGGATCCATTGCAGCAATTCCAGTGCTGAAAATAACATCAACAGCATTTGGTGTCAAGAAACAAAGGCTTGGTCTCAAAATTATTATAGATCAGAGGAGTAAGCTTTGGAGAATGGAATGAAAAAGGAAAAAAAGAAAAATAAGGCCTGATTAGAGACTTTAAAAAATGCTTTTTCCTGTGGGATTTTTGACAGTGTCATTCTATCAGCATAAATTAATTCTAATCCAGCAGCGGCCATCCTCCTCACCACCTCTTTTTTTTTTTTTTTTTTTTTTTCTTTTTTGGCTTAGCTAACTGTACATATTACTCAGTTTTCCTGTGTAGAAATTCAAACACAGAAAAAATAATCCAATCCCTGGATTTCTAAATTCAAATAGCTTTCAAATCAGAAATAGTTTTGAAGCAAGAACAATAATCTTTCTGGTAGTGGGTGGCATAAAAAGACAGTTTTTTTCCATTCAGGGCTTTTTCTTTTAAATGTATTTGATTTAGATTGATTTAGCCTGGTGTGGGAATTGAAAGTCTGACTGAAACTTCCTGTTCTGAGTTGTGGCTTGAGTGAGTTGCTGGGTGAAGGTGTCAGAGCAGCCCTGTATCCTCTCTCTTGCATAATGATCCTTGGTTCTGATGAGTTTCCATCACCTGCGTGGGCTTGATGAGGCAGAGCCCTCATGACTGGTTAAAAGCACAGGAAATCTGTGCTTCTCTCCAGACCTCCTCTGTTTTTTGAGAGAATTGCTTCATTCCTTTCTCTTGCTTCAGTTTGTCAGTACGGTGTAAATTTTCTAAGTGCTCTGAAACCCTGTGGAGGACTTGTTGAAGTCTTTGGTTGGAGGTTACACATATTCCACAGGTGCTTCTTTACTGAGGTGCTAAATAACCTCAGCCCTGTCAGTGGAAGGAACTTGCCTTTCCTTCTTAGAACCCATTTCCCTGTACTTTCAGCAAATTGCTACTTTTCCTGTTTCCAGTATTTCTTTAACAGTTTTTTGGAATGTTGTAGGATGTTTGTGGCAGCTCAGACCTTGTCCTCCACTGAGACCTGAGCAGGTTGGCACCAGAGGTTTCCTCTGAGTTAAGGCACATGGGAAGCAGTTCTGTCTTTCCAGGCTGTGCAGGGAAAGCCTTTAAGTTACAGCAACACCTACAGATGTTTCCCCTCTTCTGACTACTCCTGTCAACAGGAAACGGCCAATAAGCAGAGTGGCTTCCAAACTGCAAACTCCTGCAAGAGGTACAGACTGAGGTGGGAGTGCTGGTTCTCTCCAGCTCAGGGAGAGGTTCCTGGGCTCTGGAGCTTCGTGGTGCAGGGACAGCCACTGACCTTGGGCAGGGTTTTGGTGTTGTGAGCCACAGCCCTTTCCCACAGGGCATTTTGTGCTCAGCCATCCTGATCTAGAGGTGGGTCACTTGATGTACTGGGGCCATGTAGCATGAAACACTCCCCCAGAACAGCTCAGACCTTTTGGGCTGGCAGCACAGAGCTATGTTCAGGATCTGGAATATAGAGGAAAATAGGTAGTTTGTGTTGATTGTATGGTCCCATTCACAACAGGTTGTATATGGAAGCTCAT